TTCAAATTATGAAGTGCTTCTCATTCATTAGAACATTTTATGATATTGTGTGTTCAAAATAAATCTTGTTTCAGTGTTTCAATGTTGAACAATATAAAAGAAAATTGTAATATCTTAAAATATCCAAATAGCTGAAACCTGATGTTGATAAGTTTTGTTCACAATGGAATTTCAAGGGGTGGATACTGGATTTTTGATAAGGGCGTAATTCCACATAAATTATCATAAAAAAAAATATTGTTTTGGGAGCGAACTTAGATGAGATTTATTTTCAATTTTGTGCCTAAACAGAATATAAAACAGTTTAGTAAGCTGAAGATCAAACAGACTTTGTTTAGATGGGATTTTTTTCTTCAAAATGAATAAGGATGGGGGAGGCGGGGAAGGAGGAGTTAAATATTGAAAAGTGAAATGTTTTTTTTTTTGTTTACTTTACACTACAAATTTAAATACATCTTTCTTCTATCAATTTTCTTGTGAGCATATTATTGAAGGTAGGAAAATCAATTAATCCATGCTCAAATAACCTTTTCATTCATGATTTGTCAAATATTTATTCTAAAGACTTAAACTGTAGGATATGTTGGTTATACACCAATATGACAGCAATCAGTCGACAAAAAATCACCGAAGTACATCTAGAGAGCAACATATAGTGTTCAACAATAGATAGGGGTCTAAACATTTTTTCTAAATCGTTTATATATGTCGTGTACATGTTATTATTTTGTACAAGTTATTTCTTGTACAAAATATTTGTTCAAAAGGTCACTCAGAGCGTGCACGTGTTGTATTGTTTTTTTTAATTTGCCGAATAAAAAAGAAAATTTATTTGATGTGACTTGATCGTCACAAATGTATATAAAAATTATGAATAAAGAAACAATAAAAGATCTGCTATTAAAACACAATTCTCCAAATACTGTAACAAATCAGGAGAAAGCCTGAATAATAAAAAAGTTATAATTCAACAGTTACCAACCTTCTTCTACTTAGATGTGTATATTCCCCTTTCTTAGCCCTGCAAAAAAAACTTCCCTTGGATTAAATACCGTCTGAATATTTCCAAAACGTTCATGTTACTTGATGGCGCCATGTGGTAGAACAGTTATTGACCATTAAAATTGGTATATCATTTAATCTGCACGGTCTGGATAACCCATTGATCCGAACTCCTATGTCGTTCGATTAAAGTAGCGCCACCCGAGCCGTGCAGATAAAATGACATATACCGACTTGATTGGTCAATAACTACTAGTATAACATATAAGATGAGATAACAAAATTCGATTCTATGAAGGATTGCACAGTGAATTTAACAATGACTGCATGTCTATGTCATTTATTCGGGTTTGTACGAAAATAAATGTATATTTTGACTCTTATAAAACATATTTTACAATGACAACAGAAGATGCACAGTCATGATTCACCCAATAAGATCTTTTTCTGATACGTAGTAATTATTTTGACATTTTTGAACCTTGTGAAGAAATTAGACGTGAATACTATTTTTCAAACATTTACATAAATCAACTGTTTTTGCATAAATATTTTCAAAACATTCATGGACCATGTGTATTTGACAAGAACGATCTCTGCGATATTTCCTTCTACCTACATAGTAAATCATGGAAATTACAAGCACAACAGTGAATAACACACTCAAGTAATGCATGGCTAAGATATGGAGTTAAACAGTCGATGCCTGGTACCTTTGATAACTATAACACATGGCGTTCTTTTTGTTCAAAAGTAATCATGGATCTACCAATGAAGAACAATAAGACAGGCGAATACCGTTTTCCGTTGGAGAAAACCCTCTCGTCTATACCTCTACAGACACACAACTATTTTACACTCTCATGAAAATTCTTCCCAAAGACGTGATAAATATTAATTTTAGAACTACTGAAATTTTTAATTTCTTGAAGAAAAAAATGTTATGAATTTCTTAGGAATTACCAATTACAATATGGAGTCCAACTAAGTATATGATATCTAAGTTTATTATGTGTTTGAAGAGACTTACATTCTGTGTGGAAAATTCAGTTTGTCCTCATTACTTCATTCCTGAGAATAATTTAGTTGAGAATAAGATGAAAGGTTACGCATACGAAACACTCATAAAAAAGCTGCAAAATCTGAATAGTGATGGTTGGCAATGTATTTTGTTGTCAGATCAAGTATCGTATTTCAATGAATTAGATTGTCAAATAAATAAATAAGTGAGTCATTTTCGTGTTGAAAGTCTCGGGCTAATATTATCTCCATTGATATCTTTGACAAATTGTTTTATCTCAGGGTATCGTTTTTCATTGGGATAATGAGTTCATATAGTATTGTCTATTAACAGCTCCAAAATAAAAATAAAAACGGTTTTCGTTTTATATGTCAAAGATGGGTTGTCATATGAACCAGTCAGACACTACCATTTGATGATAAATACGATAATAAATCTACCTAGCTATTAACATTACAAAGCCCATGTAAGTCCTTGATTACTGATACCCGTCATTATACTGTATTTGAATGACTGATGTTAGCTTTGATTTTCTATAGGACGAAAAACTACAAAATAGCCATTGCCATCCTGCAATATTCTCATCTTAAGTGTTTACCGAAAAGCTTTACTCTTGCGTTACTAGTAATTTGTCAGACATACAGTATGCATTATTCAATTTACATGTACTTAGGCAGATGACTTCTGTTCAATTGACTAACATACTTTTAGATATCCAGTGCTGTTTACAAGAAACTCTACTGTAATACTGCAAGAATTACGAACCCTAGGATATATTATACGGTGCAATAAGGAGATAACTGTATTGTATTTTAAGTTCCGACGGCATCAATTGGTGATTTGATGGTCGCAAATTAAGTTTAGCGTTAGCAGAGCTACCATCAAATCACCAATTGATGCCGTCGGAGCTTAAAATACAATATTGTTATTTCCATTCTAATTAAACTGACAGAAAACAACGTCAAATCATACATTTAAAATCTTTCATATGTCGTCTGCGCTTGCGCGTACGTTTTCATAGCATCAATTGTGAATTGATGTTATGAAAATTGGTGACGTTATGCAATCAAAATCAACCTCTTACAAATAATGTTGCATCAGAATACGTAATATCAAAAGTAATATATGCTAAATTTCTTCAGTTTCTATGCCATTTACATCTAAATAATACTATTGAAAGTTAGTTATCGCTCCCAGAATTATAATAAGTTATAGAGGACGGGTATCGAATAAGTAAATATAATGTCGCGCTGAAAGCTAAGGCATACAATATCCTTGGTATAGCTTTACCATATTTTGGAGACATCGAATCACCTAGACAGGCATTTATGAAATCTGTAGAATAACATCCAGATCCAGTTGTTGATGCGTTCCAAAGATTGTCAGCAAAAGATCTAATGTACATATGATAATGTCTTTTGAATTAAAGAGTTCACCGTGTGGATTTTTTACCTTTTGACATATGAATTGAGATTAGTGTTCAATTTGTATTTTGATGATTAAATCTTCATATATTGATAGTTTTTTGTTGTTTACTGTTATGTTTACCTATTCGAGTTATGTTGAAAGTTACTCATGAGTCTTATGTAGATGAAACGCGCGTCTGGCGTATCAACTCTTAAACCTGGTACCTTTGATAACTATTTACACCAATGGGTCGATGCCACTGCTGGTGGACGTTTCGTCCCCGAGGGTATTACCAATCAGTAGTCAGCACTTCGGTGTTAACATGGATATCAATTATATGGTCATTTTTATCAAATTAACTGTTTGCAAAAGTATGAATTATTCGAAATACTAATGATTTTCTTATCCCAGGCATAGATTACCTTAGCCGTATTAGGCACAACCTTTTGGAATTTTGGAACCTCAATGCTCTTCAACTTTATACTTGTTTGGCTTTCTATCTGTTTTGATCTAAGTGTCACTGATGAGTCTTATGTATACGAAACGCGCGACTGACGTATCAAATTATAAGCCTGGAATCTTTGATAACGAATAAGGCACTTTTAAGAGTAACTTATATATAAGTTTGTTTTGTAGAAATCCTTAACAGAGGTGTCATTTCATACTGAATTCACTAACATAAAAAACAATTTCTCGGACCCTTTTTTTTTTAATTTTTCTTGTGATGTAAAAAAAAAAAATACACATAAAAGACGGATGTTCCCTTATGCCATTATTTAAATGTAAAGATGGTTGAAAATAGCCCAATGCAACGAATAGATCTCCTAATTTTTGTCGTCATGACATATTTATAGTAAGAGACTATTAAACTATAGTTTTCATTCGAGATCTTGAGGGAAAAATAATTCAAAACACATTTTCTAATCAATTTATAAGAATGAATATCCCTTAGCTATCTTTCATCTTTTTCTTTAAATTATTTGTCGATTCTTACCTAATATGTTCGGCTGTTGTTTCCAAGAATGTGTGCTTTTGGATGTTTACTTAAATTATGACAAAGCAGTCAAAGAAGTTATTTCATGTCTAATTAATTAAATGCGCGTTTAACTTGGGTCAGTTTACTCAATTGTATGCGCATGTCTAAAGCTATTCTTAAGAGTCCGTACATTTCTTTTTTAAGTTGTTTGTTTAAATGATAGATTAACTACATTTCATTTCAAAGAACCTCTTAATTTTGTGGTGAAATCAATGAATATAAAACTGCAATTATGTTAACTGTTTCTGTTATATTTTTGCATAAAGACTCCACATCATGAATTTAATGCATGATTTTTTTCTGAACATTATTATTAAAGACCAAATAGTTTATCCTACACCAAAAATGTCATTCTGCGCAAGCAGTTGTTAACAAATTTTATCATAAAAAAAGTTAAGATATATTATCGAATAGACAACATTATTTAGATATATAATTACAGTAGTGACTTGCATGGTTAAACACCGTCATTAAAAGATTAAGTTTTTTTTTTAAATATTGACTCTTTTTTACTATAAATAGAAAATAAACCGGTTTGAAAGGAAAGTCGTTCACCTATCCAGGTAAACAAAACGTGAACAACAAAGTGGCTGGTACGTTATAGTCAATAACACAGTTCTGTTCTTTACTGTTGATCTTAAAATAGAGACAAAAGATACCAAAGGGACTGAAAGACAAACTTCAGACTACAAATTAAAACATTGAAAACAAAACTTCATTCTATTCGATTTATAACAACAAAGATGGGTTTGGTCGATATAACACATAAGGATGTTCAGGCGTTGTGCAAAGAATTTCAATTTGAAAATACTTGTTTACTTAAACCGTTTAGGAGCTATAGTAATTGATTTATTTTCATTCGAGAGAAACTGAATAGTTAAGTTTAATATCTTTGATGAGTTTTGTTTACAATAAGAATTTAATAGAGACTTGTTCATACTCTCATTAGCCATTGACAGATATTAAAGACAGCATAAAGAAACTTCAGGTAGTAAAGTATCATATGATTATGTATCAACAGTCTCAAATGTACCGTTTGTTATTCAACAGATCGAGATTAAAAGCGTAGATTAATATCTTTGTAAAAGAGAGACGAAAGATATCGAATGGACATTCAAAATCACAAGTCGAAAATAATCGGACAACGCCATACATGTAGCTATAAAGAAAAGAGCAACAGACATAGTACACAAACAACAGTATAGACAACTAAAGACTGAACAACAAGAACCCCAATAAAAACTGGCATTGAACGCAACCATATGACATGAGCCTGATTAAAATCATGATCTACGTAATTGATAATGCATTAATAAAACCTATAAGGAAACAACTTCTTTGTCCCTAGCATTAACTCTTGTTGAAATGTGATTTTCGTGGCATGGAAATGTTAGTATATGCAAGATCTGTTTTTCTAAATCCGCGAAAAATTATTTCCTTTTTTATGTGTAACCCTGCTAAAAACAAACCCCTGTCAGATAACTAGATCGCATAGTTTATGAAATAGTGCACATCGTTGGAAACTAAATTAAATCATGTGGGAGTGTGTTTTCATGTATACACAGTTTCGTCTGTTCTTTCATTGTTCGCCTTGGTCAAGTTCTCTTACATTCTACATTTAAAATTCCTTGTAGACGAACATTGTTTTTGAGTGTTTTGATCTTCTATAAGGACGTCAAATTGAGTTACGTTTTTCCACTATACTTATTTTTTAACATTATTACCTTCTATATACCTGATATTTTTATATTACGCATTTAAGTGATCTGTGTAGATAGCATGTCGACATGCATTCTAGATGGTTAAATGGTACTAATATGCTGTTGGTGTGTTAATATTTCTACAACTGGTTACATTCAATCTATTGTAATGAAAATTCACATGTTATTAGGGTGATCTTAGATGCAGTATAAATAAGATCCTACAAAAAAATCTGTTTGAAATAGAACACATAGAATTACAGGAATCAAAATTCAAAACAAAAACAATTCTTTAAAAAACACTTATATATCATGTATACATGATATTTATATGTTGTATATAAATATTCATTTAGATTATCAAAGAAGGTAGGATTTTACGCAATGCACAGTAACATCGAATCACGAAAAAATTTCAAGCAAAAACCATGAAATCAAGTAAACAAGCACAAGCTTGTTTAAGGTGGTACCAAACACTAAAAATTAACTAAACTAAAATTAGTGTAGCTCGTTTAATTTTCAATAAATTTTGTTAAAATATTTACTTTGCCAAAATTCTTTGCACACCCACAAACCTTATATAAAGCACTAGAAAACAGGAAGTATGTGATCAACAGATCTGAATATAAACTCATCATAGATACCAGAATTTAAATTTTGTATTTCCGCCCGACGCGTATTTCGTCTACAAATAACTCATCAGTGACGCTCGTATCTAAAAAAAGTTAAAAAAGCCAAATAAATATCTGCAAATTACAAGTCATCACTGTCAAAAGAATCAACAAGATGTAGACCAAATGTGAAGAAATTCTGTTCAGTTGTTGCAGAAACAGACAAACAGATAGAGACCCTTACCATGTTCCCTGTGTCACAACTCACAGGGGATAATACACACAATTGAAATGAGGAAATACTCATATGAGCAGGAGATCAGTATTCCAAACATCCTGGGCGGAACATTTTTGTCATAATTAAGCTATGAATTACATTTACATGTTTGTATATGTAGTCACAATGATAACATGGATAATGTAGCTAACTTATACAGTATAGTATAGGAGCACAAGTTGTGAAATTCATGATAAAAAAGTTGACTCCATGCATAAGAGAGGGACGAAAGATACCAGAGGGACAGTCAAACTCATAGATCGAAAGCAAACTGAAAACGCCATGGCCAAAAACAAGAAGACAAACAGACAAATAATACATGTAATAGTACAGATGACACAACATAGAAAACTAAAGACTCAGCAACAAATACCCCACCAAAAACTGGGGGTGATCTCAGGTACTCCGGAAGGGTAAGCTGATCCTGCTCCACATGTGGCACCCGTCGTGTTGCATAAGTTGTCAAATTCGTGTTCATATCTGTAGTTGAGTTAATGCAGAAATGATTGTTTTCCCTTTTGGTCTGCTTTTACAATGAGGGTCATTTTTTTTCCTTCGTCAGATGAAAAACCAATGTGTTGTTTTGGTTTCTATTATCAATTGTCAATAATGATTTTTAATATTGTCTGATAATCTCTTAATAAGTATTTCAATATTGCACTATTATCACTCCTTTAGTTACCACAATATAGGATGAAAAACAAGAATATACTGCAAGGTTACCAACAATGTTAACACTCTGTAGAGCGAACATTTTATTCACAAATAATACTGTCGCCATAATTTAGTTCGGAATAAGGAATCAATTGTTACCTTTTAAGAGCAGTGGATATCAAAAAGCCAAATTACCGATTTGAAGGTCAGCACTGTACTGGAAACAATAAGGGAAAAAATAACAAAACAAACATGTGATGCAAAAACGCTACCAAATTGAATGTAATGTTCCACTTTAATCATATATGTTTGCCTCGGCTTGACAGACCTTAATGTGTGAGTAATCTTTTTCTTTTAAATTAAATATAATTTCAGAACCAGCAACACATCAAGCATCAATAGCTCTATATCAGTACATGTGCAATAATATTGTTGGGACAGAGGATAATGTTAAATCACTCAGAATGATCAACACTGTCAGAGATAATTTATCACGCAATGAAATCGAAACAACAATCACTAGTGGAAGTTTTGGAGAAGGTCTTGATATGCGTGGAAGTGACGTTGATCTCGTGAAAGTGATATCATTTATTGAGGTTTGTGAAAACATAAACGGTCCTTTCAACCCTGATAAAACATATTTTACCATGGAAACAGGCGAAGCACAACCAGGATATACCCTATTACGTCTGATTCATAGTAAGAATTTGAAAATGTTTGAACTTTGTAATGAAATAGAAGGTGAATACTATTTTTCAAACCTTAAAATAAAACAACTATTCTTGCACAAGTTTTCTTCGATCATCCATGGACCATGTGTTTCTGACAATGATGGATTTACGGATAATGCCTACACCATACACAACAGATCATGGATAACACAAGCAGAAGAGTGGAAAACACGATCAAAGAACGCATGGCCGGAAAACGATGTTAAACAGTCAATTATAAAACACGGTGTTCTGTTTGTACCAAAAGGTGTTCAAGGATCTAAGAAAGAAGAATTAGAATGGCGAATATCGTTTTCCGTTGGAGAAAAGTTTCTTATCTATACTTTCACACACACACAATTACTGTGTTATGCTCTTATGAAAATTCTTTTAAAAGGCGTGATAGATACTGACTTTGAATGTCAAGAATTATTATCCTCATATTTTATGAAAACAATTTTATTTTGGATATCTGAGGAATTTCCACTTTCGATATGGAGGCCAGAAAACCTGATATCTAATTTTATGATGTGTGTGAAGAGACTAATATACTGTGTTGAAAACTCAGTTTGTCCACATTACTTCATTCCTGAAAATAATTTATTTAAACATAAGATTAAAGGACACGCAAAGGAAACACTGTTAAACAAACTGAACATTCTAGATAGTTATGGGTGGCGATGTATCTTATTTTCAGATCAAATGTCGAATTTCAATGAATTAGCATTGTACAAAGAAGTGCATCTAATGTATGGTGAAAATCTTAAACTACTAATGTCTCCATCTATGCGTTTACGAGACCGTTCAATCGCAAGTTCAAGTGATCATTTGTCATGGAAGAAAGGAATTCACATGGTTTTGTCCAATAACAGTTCCAAAATAAGAGACTTTTACTCGTTCTATACGTCAACGATCTTATTCTATAGTGACAATTTTCTAACATTTGATGATATACGCGATAATAAATCTACCTATAAACAATACAAGACTTGTATAAGTACTGTGTTATTGAATGCACGTCATGATGCTGTTTCTGGGTGGCTAAAGTTAGCATCGTTTTTCTATAGGACTAAACAGTACAATATAGCTCTCGCAATTCTGCAGTATTCACTTTTAAAATGTTCACCCGAAAAACTTTACTTTGGCATTCGTTTGTCGCATATACATAATGAAATATTAAGTTTGCATTTGTTTAAACGGATGACTGTTACTCGTTTGAAAAAAATGCTGCTTTTCAATCATTTAAGGTTTACTAAAAACTGTACGTTGTTACCAGATGAATTACAAATCAAGGAAAATTTGTCATATTACCAAATACCACCGGAGGTATATGTTCATTTCCTTTCTTTTCTTTGTCATTATAATATGAAAAATATTATTCCATGTCAGCATTCTCTCCAAGATTTACAATTAACTATAGAGGAAGAGCATTTCATTGCAAGTGACTCAGATAGGGCTATTTCCTACAATATCCTCGGTATAGTTTTTCAGGTTTTAGGAGACATAGAATCAGCTAGACGTGCATTTATAAACTCTATAGAACTCGAAGCAGATCCAGATTTGAATACTGCTTTCCGGAATTTGTTTTTAATTGGTGGAATGTAATTCAGTTAATGTAATACAACCGGAGATTTTACTAAGTCTTTTGGTGATTAAAGTATTTTTGCCCAAATGGTATTTATTATATTATTTGTGTTTTATATATGAGTTTTAAAACAAACAATGAATTATATGAAATGAGAAAAAGAAAACAAATAGATATCCTTCTTTATCTTAAAAACTCCAGTGTGAAATAGCTACCATTTTTTTCAAAAGACATAATAGCGATCTCTTCACATTCTGCACAGTTTGGAGTCTTAAGGATGTTCGCTACTCTGTTTCAAAATAACAAGCTTTTTAAAAGACTGTTATAAATTGATATTATATAAATAAAGGAACTAAAAAAGCAGAAAAAAATTAAGGGTCCGTGTGCTTGTTTTTGGGATATAAGCCATTGAAAATTTGGCGGGAAATGATTCTCTCTAGATTTTTTCATACATTCAACATTGGTACCTTTTTCATTCAAAAACTATGAAAAAATAACAAGTATTTTATAAGATTTTCAAAGATGGCTTTTACAACTATATGTAATCAAAATATGGGAAAAAAGTAGGGTTTAGTGTGCCAAATATTTTAATGGCACTACATGGATAAAACTAGAGTATTCCGAATATCTGGCAAAAATTCAAAAACAAGAGGAGCGAACATCCTTAACAAGTCAAACATGTCAAATAAGCAGAAAACATAATTTTCTTTATCCCTGAAACACATCAAGTATAGGCAGTGATTATTTTGCTGGCGCCGGAAAAATAGAAAATATGCTATTTTGCCGGCTTTACCAAAAACTGTTATTGCCATTTTGTATGCTCCTACAAATAAATGATGAATCCTGTATTTCACAAATTGTTTTTTGGATACTGTAATAACATGAACGGTATCATCTTTTCTGCACTATGTGCGCATTTCGACTATCAATATCTCTTCAGTAATGCTCGAGGCCAAAATATTTGAAAAAAAAAACAAAGCTTATCAAAAAGATGAAGAGCTTTAAACCAAAAAGGACAAAATAAAATAGCCACAGCCGGACAAGGAATTCGAGCTTTGCATGAGGGAGATACATTCCTCAATTTTGAATAATTTCACAAAATTGTGTAACATGAAATTTAAAAACACAAAATTCTTATGTTTATGCCTTCACCGAAGTACTGGCTACTGGGCTGGTGATACATTCGGGGATTATAGGTCCACAAATCAGAGGCATCGACTTGGTGGTTATCAACATAGTCAATATCTTAAGGATGGAATCAGGTCAGGTTAATGCTTTTTTTTTAAATGTTCGGACTCCTTGGTTTTTTGTCGAGCCTGCGACTTTTGTCGCAGAAAGCTCGACATAGGGATAGCGATCCGGCGGCGGCGGCGGCGGCGTTAGCTAACTTCTTAAAAGCTTTATATTTTAGAAGGTGGAAGGTCTGGATGCTTCATACTTTGTATATGGATGCCTCATGTTACGAAGTTTCCGTCAGTCACATGTCCAATGTCCTTGACCTCATTTTCATGGTTCAGTGACTACTTGAAAAAAAAGTTCAGATTTTTTGTAATGTTAGATTCTCTCTTATTATAAGTTATAAGATAACTATATTTGGTATGTGCGTACCTTGCAAGGTCCTCATGCCCGTCAGACAGTTTTCACTTGACCTCGACCTCATTTCATGGATCAGTGAACAAGGTTAAGTTTTGGTGGTCAAGTCCATATCTCAGATACTATAAGCAATAGGTCTAGTATATTCGGTGTATGGAAGGACTGTAAGGTGTACATGTCCAACTGGCAGGTGTCATCTGACCTTGACCTCATTTTCATGGTTCAGTGGTTATAGTTAAGTTTTTGTGTTTTGGTCTGTTTTTCTTATACTGTATGCCATAGGTCTACTATATTTGGTGTATGGAATGATTGTAAGGTGTACATGTCTAGCGGGCAGGTGTCATCTGACCTTGACCTTATTTTCATGGTTCAGTGGTCAAAGTTAAGTTTTTGAGTTTTGGTCTTTTTTTCTAATACTATGTGCAATAGTTCAACTATATTTGGAATGTGCGTACCTTGCAAGGTCCTCATGCCCGTCAGACAGTTTTCACTTGACCTCGACCTCATTTCATGGAGCAATGAACAAGGTTAAGTTTTGGTGGTCAAGTCCATATCTCAGATACTATAAGCAATAGGTCTAGTATATTTGGTGTATGGAAGGACTGTAAGGTGTACATGTCCAACTGGCAGGTGTCATCTGACCTTGACCTCATTTTCATGGTTCAGTGGTTATAGTTAAGTTTTTGTGTTTTGGTCTGTTTTTCTTATACTATATGCAATAGTTCAACTATGTTTGGTGTATGGAAATATTTTATGATCTATTTGGCAGTCACGCAGGTTTTATTTGACCTTGACCTCATTTTCAAGGTTCATTGCTCAGTGTTAAGTTTTTGTGTTTTGGTCTGTTTTTCTTAAACTATAAGCAATAGGTCAACTCTATTTGTTGTATGGAAGAATTGTTAGCTGTACATGCCTGCCTAGCATGGTTCATCTGACCTTGACCTCATTTTCATGGTTCATTGGTCAATGTTTAGTTTACTTGGTTAATGTTAAGTTTATGTGACAGTTGTAATAAAGCTTTATATTTAGGACTATCAACATAATATCAATGATTAGTAAAGAAGGCGAGACATTTCAGCGTGTGCACTCTTGTTTCTCCCTACGATACAGGGTAAAACGTTTTGCCCCATACCACCCACTTTTCTTTTCATAGAAGAATTCAACAGCTCATAAAAAGGTCATTAACAAAATTAAAGTAGATTCTAGATTATTTTTTTAAAGATTTGATACCCAATCAATGCCAATGTTAAATATAAGGTAAAAGTCCGAATCAGCCTTTTTCCCGAATTTTTCAAAATTCAAATATCTCAAATAGGAGTGCCAAAACCTATAAACATTTTTATCTTATTTAGTTCATTAACGAAAACTCTTCTGCCTTAAAGTATCAATTTCAAATTCGAGCTTTTTTTAATTCCAACTAACTACATCTTTAAGTTTATCAATACTCTACTAAACTTTTATCTTCGCTTAGTAATTACATGTCCATGTTGTCACAGCACATTCATTAACTATTTTAAAATTATTTATGATTTATTAAATAGTAAAAATAAGTATATGTCTTGTGCAACGTAATCTGTCTCAGCCATTAGAGGTGATACATATTGCACGCATGAAACCCAACCGCTGTTTAAAATAGTTAAAAAAAGAGGTGACAGATATCATCGGCAGAGGAGCATTCAAAACTCATAAGTCGGAAGACAAACTGACAAAACCGTAGCAAAACCGATTTAAGAGTACTAGTATATGATAAGGTTTTTTTCTATATCACACATCGCATCAACCCTCTGAACTCTCTGACTACTTAGTGTCTTGGTTGATACTTGGGAGATATAGAAAAATCATATACTATCTGTTATAAAAAGGGTAAAAAGACTTAACTGTTAGCGGAATTATACCAAGTCTTATAATTATTTGGCGTTTATCAAATATAAGCACTATCATTTTCCAAACAAACAAAAAAGGGAAATATGAAAGCCTAGTAACATGTCTCAAAGAAAACCATGTTCTGTAGGGATGTGTTAGATTTAAATTATTGTTATAGATAAACCAAAGTGAAATCTATATAGAACCAATAACAAGGCTCATCTCACCATAATGAAGTTTCATACTAAAAATAACATCATATTGAAACTCATTTAAACAGACGAAAGAACGGAAAAAAGCATGATGGACGAAAATGATGATAAGTAGGTGAAACACTCGGTTACTGTTGATCTTTTGTGCATAGTGATTTTGTGTTATGAACTATTACACCAGGACCAGGTCATGTATTTGTGTTTACATTGACTAAATACCCGTATATAATGTCATTTAATAAGTTTCAATTTCAGAATTAAAGAATGTGTGGCGTATGCAATCTAGATAGCAAACAAACGATAAAAATAACCAAAGATATTCTAACATGGTAGCAGGCACCATAAAGTCTTTAACAAATGACAGGTGTTCCGGTCTTTTCTTTATAAAACATGTTAAACCAATTATTGAGAATTCGAAATTACTAGACTAATTTTGATATAAAAATATTTTGACAGCAGGTCAATCCAAACAGTCAACCCAATCAATGCAGATAAACTAAGTGTGCAGAAGGAGGTTTTGTCGTAATCTCTGTGCTATATAGAAGATCATGATTTGAGGATAAACATAAGAATGCACGATTTTGAATTTTTAGAGCATGGTATTTGATACAAACCATACCTCTAAAAAAGCTGATACTAGTTTAAATGAGCTAAAACAAGTTTTACCGAATAATGGAAACCTCGTTGATTATTTCACGTGAAATGATTGCAAAGGTTCAGTGCATGGGAAACACTATTTTTTTCAAAATCTGAGCATGCAGAATGAAGTCTAGAGTGCATACACTGAAATATCACGCCTGTTTTACTGAACATAGCATTAGTATCACGTAGACTTAAAATTATCAATGTTCTATGAAAATGAGGTCAAAGTCAAATGAACCATGCAAGAGAGATATTTACACCTTCATGACCTTAGAACCATTCCATACATCAAATATAGTGGTCCTATCCCTAATATAAACCGAAAAAAGATTAAAACACAAAATCTTGCTTTTAGCACCTGATAAACTGTACAAATTATGAAAACTAATTATTCACCAATGGAACATAAAAATGAGATCAGGGTCATATGAACCCAACCAGACAGACATGTATACCTTACAATTGTTCAATAAACTAAATATAATTGACCTTTTTTTTACATGTTATATTATTTGACAAAAAGACGAAATCACAAAAAGCTAAACATTGTTCAATGAACCATGAACTAGATGTCAAGGTCAAATTAAACCTGCCAGACAGACATGTACGCCTTACAATTATTCCAAACACTAAATGTAGTGACCCTATTACTTGCAGTATCTGAGAAAAATACCAAACTACGAAAACTAAACATTGTCTAATGAACTACAATATCCAGGTAAAGTTAGGTGTTACCTGCCAGTTGGACATGTACACCTTACAATCATTATATACCCCAAATGTAGTCAACCTTATGCTCATCGTTTTTCAGATATGGACTTGACCACGAACCTTTCAACATTGGTCAGTAATCCGAGAAATGAGGTCGAGGTCAGGTGAACCCTATTTGACGGATATGTAGACCTTGTAAGGAGGAGATATACCAAATATACTTATCCTATTAATCATAATACTTGAGCATCTCAAAACTTTTATTTCTTTTCAAACAGTTACCGAAATTGCCTCCACTTCAACTGTCACCTTTAAAACACTTCTGGAAACACCACCTTTAAAAACACTACTGGAAACAGCACCTTTAAAAACACTACTGGAAACAGCACCTTTAAATACACTTCTGTAAACAGCACCGTTAAAAACTCTACTGGAAACAGCTTACCTAAATCTTTGCTCTGCAACTTCTCTAAGGCAAGACAAAATACAGCAGACAACTCAAAAATTGAGTGAAAATTCATCTTTATATGATTGTTTTAGTATCCATTTGATAAAGCGTAAGCAGTCCTTTATTAACACAAATTTATTCAAATCAAACCATGACATAAATGTACCGAATGACAGTGACAACTGCAGATAATTTCATTGATTCTTCTTTTTTAATACTTGGAACTGAACAGTTACATGACATATAAGGATCTTATTTTGACAAATCTATCTAATAAAAGCATACTGCAAAAGTTCTGGACTAGTACATTTAGGATTGTTTGCTGATGGAATGTCTTGTACAGGAGCTCGTAGTTTAGTTCTCCGCAAATGAGTATCTCGTCCATTCTGGTGATTTGATAAAATAGCTATTTGAATCATAAATGTCCTTATTAGTTTTTCATTGACATCTTTCATTGGTACACACACCCATCCTACTGGTTCTGACATCTATATCTGTTCAACCTCAACCAAATCATTGAAATGGGTACCAGCCCTTATTTAGATTCTGAAATAAAATGTAATAAACTGTAAGCAGGTGGCCAATATGATTAGCTGGGGGTTAATCTGATGTACTTGTTACGGACATCACAAGACATTGCAGACCAAATATAACATAAACTAAAAATAACTTTTTAAAAATTTGAAAGAATTTCAAATCATTCGTTATCATTTTGGTATTTAGCAGTCTATTTTCAAAAAGGGAACAATGCTCGAACATTTCTCTTTCAAAAGTAACTGTCATGTTTAGATGAAAATCAGCAATAAAAGCGCGATTCCTTTGCTTTTTATTGTTTCTGCTGTGTATGTACTGTTTACGTCTTTGTGGATTATAAGTTTAGGTATTTTAATATATGGGCATTGGTAATCGTACAATTTCTCTGCCAGCAAGTTTCAAAACTTTTTAAACACTATTTGATGAACAAACTGTAATGCGACGATGATTAAATAGTGTAGAAATAGTTGACAGACCCCTAAAAATTTGATACCTTATATTGAAATCTACCTCACCTTTATTACAAAAAGCACAAAAGTCGATGATTTATTACTATGTATTTCTATTTAACTTTTCCAGTTTATGTCTCCAGAATTAGGCTTAACGATATAGAGAAGAGTAAATGTGATGGTGCTGGCCATCTTAATGTTGGTTATATCACCAATGAAATATATTGAACGTCATTGATAGTATGTTTATCGTTTATAACGAATATGATATATATCAACGGTGTAAACTTACAGTAGTAAGATGACAAGAGTCAGAGGTGGAACACGACATTAATAAGATGACAGGAGCCACATATGGAACATGATCTGTTTACTCATCCGGAGTACCATGGATTACCAACGGTTTTTGAAGGGTTCGTGTTGCCTAGTTGTCAGTTTTCTATGTTGTGTTTGGTAACCTGTTGTTTGATTTTTATTTTTCGTTTGTTTTTTGTTTTTACCAGGCTTCGTCGGCTGTTTTGAGACTTATGAGTTTGAATATCATTTTGGTATGATCTCTCGACTTTCTTGAATAAAGAGCCGGCATTTTACAAATATAATAATGCCTTGCAGATTTACATAAACAAAACAAAATAAAACATCAAATTTGTCCCATGTTTTATTGCAAAAACCAAAAAATCATTTCCACGACAATTGATGTTAACATGAAACCATGTTTACCCCAACAATTTGACATTACATGAAATAGAATTAAACAAAATGATAAAGTAAATGCCAGCAACGAATATAGCATAATGGATGTATGATACGGTGCTTTTGGTCCGGGATTTGCTTTTTATCCGATAATTTTGCTTTTTGTCCGATACGTTTGCTTTTTGTCCGTTGCGTTCGGGCCGTTTTGCTTTTTGTCCGACACTTTTGCAAAATATGTCCGTTGCTTTCGGTCCGTTTTGCTTTTTGTCCGATTATTTTGCTTTTAGTCTGACACTTTTGCTTTTTGTCCGTTTTGCTTTTTGTCCGACACTTTTGCTTTTTGTCCGTTGCTTAATGTCCGTTGTGTTTTGTCCGATGATTCTTTTTTATATCCATTTAAAAATGTACATATTTTGTGGGTTCCATTTGAACTTCGAACCTCAATGACATATTTGAAATAAATACAAACCTTATTCCTCTATATACATGAGTAGTATATGGAGTATCTGGTTTTTTACTAGTCTGATCAATATGTTCTGAATTTACCGCTATTAAAGCCAAGCATGCTTTAATTGACCGTACGCTTCGGTTAAAAATAAGTATTCGTAAATATTTAGACGATCGTTATAATGAGCATTATCAATTATAATATATCTTTATATTTAAAAAAAAAAAAACGCCTGAGAAGAAAGCCACAGATTGCAAAACGTGGGGATGCAAATACGGCGTCACTATCTTTCGATATAGTTTTTTGTCTCGCCTGCGAAGAAAGTATCTATCTGAAAGCTAGACTAAGAAATTGTTTTTCCGGCGACGACAATTGTTAAGTTTTCTGCTTAAATTAGTTTGATATGATCTACTTGTGAAAGATCTTTGTTATTTAATAAAAAGTTGCATTACTATCTGTACATATCAATTTGACGACTATTTTGAAGCCTTGCCTTCTGGGTCATGGTCTAGCCATTTTTAATTGATAAGCAATTTTTAATGTTAAGTTTCGGTATTTTCTTTAAAGTTACATTACTGTACATGTCAGTACATATCAGTTTGACGACTATTTTGAGGCCCTGCCCATTAGGTCGGCATAAAACGGTGACTTTGAATTAATCCGCAATTTTCGATGTTAAGTTTTCTGCTTAAGTGAGATTGATAGAAACTACTTACAATAAACAATGATATTTTCTGAGATCACCCCCAGTTTTTGGTGGGGTTCGTGTTGCTTAGTCTTTAGTTTTCTATGTTGTGTCATCCGTACTATTATTTGTCTGTTTGTCTTTTTATTTTTGGCCATGGCGTTGTCAGTTTGTTTTCGATCTATGAGTTTGACTGTCCCTCTTTATCTTTCGTCCCTCTTTTCTCTTCCATAAAGTTATATTGCTGTCTGTACATCTCAGTTTGTCGACCACTTTTAGGCCTTACCCACTAGATCATGTTCCCGCGACTGAATTAATAAGCAATGTTGCAGTCCATCAGCTTGTCTGAATTTTATACTACATTTGTAGTATGTCAGTCAACAGTTTATTTTTAAATCATATTGAGAGAAGATCTGAATATTTCAAATTTTTATTTATACTTATGCCTTATGTTTGAATGACAATTGTGCTGGATTTCATTTTCGTGGTTTCGTTCGCGTATAGGCTGATTGTAGGGCGTACATGTTCGACCGGTAGGTTTCAACGGACCATGGTTCATTGGTCAATGTTATGTTTTTTATGATTCGTTTTATTGTCTGATACTTTTTCAGCAGTAATGCTTGTTATTTTTACTCGAATATTGAACGGGGTTCATCTAACCTTGACCTCATTTTCATGTTTCATTAATAAATGCTTATTTTTCATGTGAAATGGTTGAATGGCGTACATGCTAGTCGCGAACGGTTCGTCTTAAATTTACTCCATTTTTTATGGTTTATTTTTTTTTTCTTAATAAGTTTGGAGGTTCGCATCGGATAAATGTACTAAATACAAAGGGTGGACAATGTTGATGTATTGGGTGACTGTAGTGTGCAGATATCGGAACTTCCGTCATTCTTCGATCTATTCTCATTAAGGTTTGTTTCTCAGAAACTATAAGACATAGGCTAGTATATAAATAGCGCATAGCTGAGAGGGTGATAGAGAGAAAACATTGTAAACTGAGGCGAAGCCAAGATTGACAATGTCTTTTCGAGGGGTACATGTAACAATAATCTCATAATCTCATAAAGCTTTATTTAGAGTCGGTATGTGCAAATACAAGTATAAAACATAAGCTCTGAAGAGCTTTTAAAACCGACAGAGCAACAAATAAAACAAAACATACATATCAAGTCATGCACACATAAATTAAACATATAAAGCAAGAGTTCATATCAGTATATAAACATACAGCACAAAAGTTCTTAAAAGCATCTTACAAGTTAAACACACACTGAAACATGCACTCGTGAGGTAAAAGCACAAAAGCAAAAATTAAATGGTTTGCACATTAAAAGCACATATAGATTAGTTAGTTACTAAAACTAGCACAAAGCAGCAGAATCACTATAGTAAAGATAATAAAATAAAAATTGCCATGCTGAAAATAAAGTATTTAACCAAAAATAATGAACAGAAATTAACTGGTTTTGCAGGCAAAACATTGGCATGAGCTGCCAGACCAAGAATTTATCAAGTTCTTGAATTGATTTAAAGATGATTGCTTAAACGTAGCACATCTGGCAGCTCATTCCAAAGCTTAGCACCTGCATACCTTAAAGATTGTAGGCCGTATGCAGTTGTTCTTACATGTGGTAGGTCGGCTGTATTCTGGTATCTGAAAGAGTAAGTGTTTTCCTTTAAGTGTATTAAATCATGGAGACAGGACAATCTTTATTAATAATTTTGAAAACTTCAATAGCCAATGATCGCATTCTTCTTATTTTTAAAGATGGTAATTTTGATTTGCAGAGTAGATCTTCATAACTTGCTGAATAGTCTTCATATATAAACCTTAGTGCTCTCTCTTGACTTTTCTCTATCTTTTTTGTATGTACCTCCCCACAAAAGTGCCAAACTAGTGGGCAGTAATTAAAGTTGGACATTATGAAAGAATAATATATTGTTAATTTTCCGAGTTTAGTCAGGTGTTTTCCTATTCTTTTTAATACATTTAACTGTTTGGATGCTTTTTTACATATTATAGAGACATGTTCATTGAAATTTAGTTTAAAATCTATTGTTACGCCTAGAAGTTTAACGTTATCTTCACATTCTATTTCATTACCTTCTAATTTAAATTTTAGGTTTGTGTCTTTATTTTTTTTTCCTACAGCTATTGCTTGAAATTTTTCTGGATTTGCTTTCATTTTATTTATTGAGAACCAATTTTGCTTTCATCTTCTAGAATATTAATTAATTTATCTAAATCTTTATCTGAGTATGAAAGGGTGTTGTCATCTGCATAATTATAGAGTTCACTTTTATGAATAAAAAAGAAAATGTCATTTAAAAAGATATTAAATAATGTTGGCCCTAATATTGACCCTTGTGGCACCCCTTTAAACATTGTTTGCCAGTAGCTTGAATTAGTACATTCTTTAACACACTGTTTTCTATTAGTTAAAAAGCTTTCCAAAAGTTTAAGAGAAGAAGCGGAGACACCATAGGATTTTAATTTTAGTAGGAGGAGGTCATGGGGTAGGCAGTCAAAAGCCTTTGACAAGTCCATTAATATAGCTGCTACATATTTATTCTGATCTTAAGCCTTTTTCCAATCTTCAATTATTTTTAATAAAGCGGTTTGGCATCCGTATCCTTTTCGAAAAGCTGACAGAAAAATGTGGAAAAATGAGATAAAATATTCCACAAGTTGATTTTCTATAGACCTCTCAAAAATTTTTGAAATCATGGGCAATATACTTACAGGTCTATAGTTTCCTTTATCTAGAGTGTTTGATTTTTTATGCAGAGGTATTACTTGTGCTTCTTTTAATTTATCTATGAAAACAGCTAATTCAAATGATTTATTTATTAATTTAGAAATTGGATTGGATAGTTCAGATTCAGATAATTTTAATATTTTTGAAGAGATTCCATCTTTTCCTGTTGCCTTTTTAATGTTAATTTTATTGATTTGTTTTTTAACAAACTCAGAATTTACTGGGCTAAAACATAGTTCTTCTTTTTCTGGTTTGTTTTCTTTTATAACCTTAATACTGGGATGGTGTTCATCGATGATAGTATCTTTTGAGCCGATATCTTTGGCAACATTTATAAAAAAGTTATTAAATAATTCACCAACTTCATTTTGATTATTAATTATTTTATTGTCTTCACATAGTATTAGATCTTTTGAAAAATGTGAACCTTTGTTGGTTAAGAAGGGCTTTGATTGTTGGCCAAAAATCTTTGCTGTTAGGTCCTCCTACACATCTTTCCATGAAATAGTTTCTGATGGATTTCTTTTTAATTTTGTTAACCAAATTTCTTTGTTTTCTGTATGATTCCCAATTTGTTTTATTTTTATAGTTTTGATATTTGTTATATGCCATTCTTTTTTTTTATATATTTCCCTTCGTAAAGTTTGATTCATGAATGGGGCTGGTTTGTTGATGGCTTTCTTTTTTTTCATAGGTATATGTTTGTCTATAACCTCCATAAAATTTGTCTCAAATGTGTCATATGCTGTGTTAACATCTGCTGATTCTTCTATTATAGCAGTTAAGTTTTTTCCATTTAAATCTGTCAAAAAATGTTCCTGATAAAAGTGTTTGAAACTTCTGTAATTTATAAAACCTTTATTTATTTTTGGTAGTTTGCCCTTAATTTGAGTGGAAATAATATTATGTACATCACTCAAACCACAGTTGAAATTTAAAAAAAAAATTAAAACAATCTGCTCTATCACCCTCTCAGATATGTGTTATTTAATTTATTATACTGAATTTTCTGTTATTACTGTCTATTAAATTTCAAATTCAAAGTAATAAACTATCAGTGGGATTTCCAGTGACACAAGAACAATAGAAAAGTGACTCTTCTTATGAAAGAGATAGAAAAGGTAAAAAAAAAGAAAGACAATTAACACATTAAACTCGATATGCATAGGGATGAATTATCTCTTAAAGCACAAAACCATAATATAACTTTTATACAACCACCACAAGTAAAGCTAGGCTCAAGCTAGCAGCCACTCGCTAGCAGCCACTCCGCTAGCAGCCAGTTTTCAGATATGTCTATAAACCCAAAAGTTGCATAAGACTCAAATGTTTTTCTATACTATATTTGACGCATTTTAGTTTAACAATCTTAAACACTATGAATGCGTTTTAGGGGTGGATCCAATAATTTTGAAGGAGAAAAGGGAGTAGGGGCGGGGGGGTGCAATTGCCAAAAACGATATATATATATATATACCGCCGAATGGAGGGATACAAAAAAGCGTTGGACGATTTTATGCAAAAAATAAGAAGATATTTTTCCGTTGGAAGAGGAGGGTGACGTACGCCCTCCACACCTAATCTGAATCCGCCACTGACTTTTACATTTTCATTTCTTGATCAAGAATTAAAAGACATTTGTATATTTTATCAGCAAACCGCGCTGCACGCGTTGAAATGGTGAGACATAGATTAAAAAAATATATATATAGTACACTGCAAGAGTGGAGAAATAAGGAAATACTTTTTTAAAACACAATGTTAAGCAGTATTTTTTTTAAGAATTTAAATGGTAACCCTCAAAAGCATGGAAATGTGGAATACAATTTTTGTTAAAAATCTTAAAAAAAATATGATTTACCTCCCTTTAAAACTTACTACTTTAGAATAATTAAAATATTAAGTCTTCTTTGATGCGTAAAACTACAAATACTTGTATCAGAAGGTGTCAAGCATTTATTCATTAAATATTAATGATCATGTAACAAACAGTAACAGAAATTATATAAAATTAAGCTAATTCTAGTTTCATTTTATGCCTTTTTCATGAGACTCATTGTGAATATTCATGAAGTTTACAGCTTTGGAAACACAATCCGCCTAAATCGACAAATGATATCAGAAGGAAAGGACTACTATTTATTTTTAATTCGGTTGGTGACTGTTAGCTAGTTAG